TTTCCTGAAAGCGCTCTGCTTTACTCATTCTATGAGCCAAGTGAGCCTGCCACTCCCCGAGTCTCCATGCTGCTCCTCTGTTCTAGTTCTTGTATGGATAAGAACTGGGAACCCCTCTCTCTTCTATCTCAGGGCCTCCGTGCTGTGGCATCTGGTGCCCCTGCTGCAACCCCCACTTCAAGCAGGGATCTCTCACATGTCCTGCTGATCGCTCTTCTTTCTTGATGGTTGTGGGATCCCTGTTCCTGTTTCTGAGGTGGCTCACTTTTATACCCAGAATGGCAAAACCGACTAATGCTTGAGTTAGGGAGTTGTACACCTTATTTCCGAGCCCTGGTGGCACAGTAGGTAATGTGTTGAACCGATAGCAATTCCAAACCACCAGACACTCCACGGGAAAAAGACTGGGCTTTCTACTCTCATAAATAGTTATAGTTTCAGAAACCCACAGAGGGGCGCTGGGAGTCAGCACTGACTACTACATGGCTGTGAGTTTGATTCTGGTTTTTCTACTCCTCTAAAGATGTGTGGTCTCAGAAGCCCACAAGGGCAGTTCTCTCTCCTAGAGCCTTGCTGTGAGCCAGAGTGGACTCAATGGCAGTGAGTGAGTATAATATCATATCTTATTGTCATATCCCCACCCAGTAACTGAGTGAGAGTTATAAAGACTATGGAAGGGAGAGCAAAGGAATGTCACGTCACTGCACTGCAGCTGCTAACCAAAAGGTTGGAAGCTCCAGTCTAACCAGAGACACCTTGGAAGAAAGATCTGGCAATCTACTTCCAAAACCAACCAGTGGAAACCCTGTGAAGCCCAATCTGACAGACTTGAGATGGCCAGGAGCCACAACCAAATCAATAGCAACTAGCTGTGTTGGAAATACCATCTGCTATATTAATGTTCATTTTAACTATATTCACTGTCTACCTATACAACATTTTAAATTTTTATGGTTATATAAGACCTTTGTGCCTAGTTTTGTATTTACAGATTTAATAAAGCTTTCAGTGAAATAATTCATAAACCCGAGGAGCCTACAAGGATTATTGTCACCTTTAAAAGGAGTCCATAACCACTATTTCTATTTCATGAACATCTCGAACCTTCTGTTCTCCATTCCTACTACTACTGCCTTAGCTTATACATGTTTCACCCCAGGGCATGTGGCCTCTGTTCTGGCACCTTAAAGTCACCCTCCCATCAGCCAGGCCAATGTCATGCTGTCAATGCTTCCATAATGGCTTTGGATATCTCTTCATCTTTAAAAGAGACATTTTGAAAATTAAAGGTCCTGCTTTCCTCCAGACCACCCAAGAGGAGCAAACCCCCAAAGGCAAGTGTGGTAGTAGCACTAACAAGAACACCATCCTGTAGTAGTTACGGAATGTCATGTCAACTTGATGCATAAGTGTAGGGGTGGAGTCTAGCCTGTCAATCAGGTCACAATCTGATGATGCCTCCTTGTGGGATGCCTTCTCATGAGGATTCCAGGAACTTCCTGTCTCTCACTTCTTCACCTTCCTGTTGAAAATACATTGAGCCACAGGAAGACTTGCGCCTGCCTTGGACATGCTTCCACTACCACTGGATCCACAAGACTTTGCACACATTGTCCTGTGACCTTCCTGAATTTTACATGATTGCATGCCCTGTGTGAGTCTGAAGAGGAATTTATGGACTAGTATTGGACTTACGGGCTAATTTCAGACTTACAGACTTGATCTGCATTGGGCAGGAATGTTTTCTTAATATACACTTACTCTTTTAGGTAAAGCTATTTCTTATACATATAAAAAGCTATTTCTTATACATATAAAATTTCTTATACATATAAAATTCTCTAGTCAACCCACTCTAACACACAACCCGCTCTAACACACATCAGATTCATGAAACAAGTCAGTGATCTGAGGTCAAGAGACCTATCTCCACAAAGAAAATGTTAACTTATAATAATATAAAGAGGTGTAATAAAATAAGAACTTTTTTTATTCCTAAAAATGGGACAAGGCAGTCAGGGTGGAGTATA